GTCTGGGCCTGGGTGGCGGTCTGGCGGCTCCGTGCTCGCCGTGGCCGCCTCGTCGCCGCTTGCACCACATATATTGCACCGCATAAGTTCACCACCTAGAGTATACCACGTGGATTGTAAAACCTCGATTCAACCACACAGACTGCACCACGTCGATTGCACCAAATGGACTCACAACGTACGTTGCACCACAGACTGCACCACAGATGTTGCCCCACAAAGATTACACAACAGATATTGCACAATATATACTGCACCACACAGATTGCACCACATAGATTACACCACCTATATTGGTCAGCATTAACTGCTAGAAGCACACTGTTTGGCGTCAGAGCTGGCCAACATGAGTAGAGGAGTGGAGGAGGACGAGGAGGAGAAAGGGAAGGAGGAGGAGGAGGAGGAGGAGGAGAAGGAAGGAAGAGGAGGCGAAGGAGGAGGAGGAGGCGGAGGAGGAGGAGGAAGAGGAGGAGGAGGAGACGCCCCTTCCCTAGTGTGCACGAATTGTTTGTGATTCGTGCCTTGCCGTTCTGGAACTCGTGTTTTTCTGCTCCGGGATTGAGGGTGCCCCGATTCCAGGGCTCATGTCTACAGGAAGCCGCGGGAAGGCTGCTTGATTCTGGAGGCTCGGGGATATTCCGCAGGTCGTGGTTTATCCGTCCAAGAGGGCCCCGAAACGGGCCCCAGGGCGTCCAAGAGCGCCCCAAGTGAGCCGCAAGAGGGCCCCAAGAAGCGACTTTGCGGACTCCAGGACGGGGAGGTGTTGGTTTTCATTTCCCCCCCTTCCTTGATCGATGGCCTCCGAGATGGCCCCAAGAGGGCCCCCAAGGCCCCCAAAGAGCCCCCAAGCCTACAAGAGGGCCCCAGGAGACCCATAGGAGGTTCCGAAGGGCCTCCACCGTGGTCAGAAGAGTGCCCCAACCTGGCCCAAGTAAGCTACCAAGAAGCTCCCATTTACAGGGCAGTTTTTAATATGTATATATATATGATGATGTTTGAAAATATTGAGTTTTCATACATAATTGTGCATGGATAAGTTTATGCATGAACTCATCGTGGTTTTTTATACTAAATCCCTGCATCTTTAATACGTGATCCGCACGCGGAGCATGTATTAAAAACGGCACTGTACCAAGAAGCTCCCATTGATGGTTCACTCCCAGGCCTGCTCAGGCTGATCCCGATACTCGGTTTGTTTACGGCTGCCCCACCTCATTGTCCCACTCAGTGATCCCACGCTTCCTTGATCGCCGCAAGCCGCTTGGGCATCTTGTCTGGATGAGCCGCTGGGGACGCATGAAGCGTCAACAGGAAGGACCCAGAAACACTCCAGTGTGCCTCGCACGGCACTCCTCTGCCATCGGGCCCGTCTCTTCGCACGAAAGAGCATGATCGAGACTTCGCGCTTGCACCGTGGTGCATTATTGCGCAGATAGCGTCTATTGCGCGACACAGTAACGACAATGCCAGCCGACGGCAGCCGCTGCGGCGGCGGTATCCGTAAGCAACCACATGTCAACCCTACTCCTGCAAATCGAATGTCCGGATTGTCTTTTATTAACAAAATACACTGGGGACCAGAAGCCGACGGATGCCTGCAGCCAACATGGACCCGAGCGGGAGTGTCTGATGCCGCAGCGTCGAGTGAACCCACAGGGGTAGTGTTCTCAAGCGTCAGGGTCGTCAGAGCTGCCGTCGGCCTGTATCATCAGGATGCGCGACAAGGATGCAGGGGGCCCTGGACGCCCGCTGCGAAGCTTCTCGAGCGGGGCGCGCCAACGCACGTGGCCAAGGATGGACCGAGGAGGCAAGGAGGCAAGGGCACGCTTGGGGAAGGCTGCCCATCCTCACTGTGCTGGTTGACTGCATCCCCATCCCTCCTGGGAAAGCCCTGGGCCCCGCTGCCCCACCCAGGCATGCGACGTCCTGGTCTGCAAAGATGCAACAACAACAACAAACATACAAAAAGTAGCAAACATATACAAAGAAAATACCAATTCTTGAAATAGGAAGGCGCTTGAAGTAGATTGGGATCTGGGAATCCAAAAATACCTACTTTCAACGACCGACCTGTACGTACGGCATCCCTGGAAATCCTGACCCTTTCCCCGGGGCTGGCTTTTCATCCCGAGTCGTTTCTGTTGACGGTCCCGGGGCCCGGCGAGGGCCCCCAGGGGCCGAAAATGGCGAAAGACTTGCCGTCCTGATATTTCTTTGCGACGCGATCATGTCTGGGCACCGATCCCCCCCTTCAGCAGTGGGGACGAATGCCCCGTCGGGCGCCGCGGCGCGGCGCATGCCCCCGACCTCGAGTGGGCAGAAAGCGCAGGGCCCCCAGGGAGCCCCGGCCCACCAGGGCCGTGCACAGTCGGAAGAGGGCCCGCTGAGACAAAGGGCGGCTCTCCTGACAGGCTCAGGTTGGGCATGTCCTCCGACAGGCGGATCTCGGATCTTGAACGAAAAAATGAAAAATAGTCAAATAGAGATATTCGAACATATTTGTTTTTTACCCAAAAAAAGAAACAAAAAACCGAACAATCGTCCCAGGACTAGTTGATACTATTTTTGAATACTCCTCCTGTAGAGGGACATGCCCGACTTAATGCTAGAATCCGCTCAGAAGGTTCGGAAGTCCACAGGCCTTCTCAGAAGTTCCCTGGGCCTTCCCCGAAGACAGAACAAAAAAATCAAAAACTTTTCAGAAGGAGCGAGAACTTCTGAGAAGCCCCACCGACTTCTGACAAGGCCTTCTCCTTCTCATTTCCCCCCTCGCTCGCCGCCGGAGATCGGCCCCCGGACCCCCAAGACCCATCCTGACCCGCTCCTCGTTGGCGACGAGAAGCCTTCAGGAGGCCCACGGAGGGACGGAAAACGCCAGGAAGGGCAGCTGTTGTCTCGGCTGGCGCATCTCTGAGGACACGTTCGGGAACTGTTGCGTCGCACGTCGCGGCGGCGGCCCCGACGACACGTCATACTCTGCAAGCGGACAGCGCGTCGCTCCGCGCCGCGGAGCGGGCGGCTCGGAAGGGCTCGGGGCGTCGACACCCGGGGAGACCGCGGCGTGGACAGCGCGTGGCGCCGAAGCGGGGTGGGCCAGGACGGGCGGAGCGACACGTTGAGCCGGCGAGCCTGCCCGCAGTGAAGGGGCCCTGGGACACACAAATCAATGCACACACACATCAAAGGATTCCCCACAGTTTCCCCTATTTCCTCGGTTTTCGTCTTCCCCCCCACCTCCCATATTTTCCCATACTTTCCTGGGGATCGCCGATGAAGTGTGTCTGTGTGTTTTTTCCCCTCCTGACCATAGGTCTGATGATGCTGAGAGTGGCCGCGGACTTCGGGGCCGCCCGTGCGGCCGTAGCCGAGCCAGTGCGCGAGCGTGCCGCCGGCGCCGCCGGGGCGGCCCAGCTCGCCGCGGCGCTCCCAGAACCTCGGCGTCCAGGCGCCTGGCCGGCCGGGCGGCAGGGGCGCGGATGCGGAGGGCAAGGAAGGCGCCGGACACGCTGCCCGCGTGGGCGAGATTTGCCGAGCGGCCAGGCCACTCACGCCATCCAGCCGCGGCCAGCCTCCACGCTTCCGCTGCCATTATGGCCGGGTGGTCGAAGCCAATCTGGCAGGCCCAATCTGGCAAACGGGGGCAATCTGGCGAGGGAGCCAACGCGAATCCAGTCTGGCGAATAACCCAAACCCTCCAATATGGCCAGGCCAGATTGGCCCTTGGGGCCCAATCCAGTCTGACAGTCTGGCCTTCGACTACCCAGTATGGGATGAGGCGGGAGAATGTGTGCCCTCCCTCCCCATACAGTGAGCACGGTTCACGGTCGGCACGCTGTTCGATCGGTGTGGGACTGTCGTCGATTCTGGACATCACGGGAAGCCCATTTGTTTTGTTTCGAGCGCCCAGCTGCACTCTGGAACTTGCTTCTCCGCTCGGCCTAGCGCGCCACCTCCGCCGCAAAATTTCCTGCACGGGATACATGGCGTACCAGGTCCGGCAAGTTCGGAGGAGACTTGGGAAAATTCGGCAAGACTTGCAAAATTCGACAAGTTCGGAGAAGACTTAAAATCCCTCTGCAGAGCGCGCGAGAAGCGCTCTGATACACTACTACTCAAGAGACTTGCGCCATTCTGCTATCCCTCCTCCACTCAGGTGCAATATAAATATCCCCTTCAACTCCTCCCCCTCCCCTCCAGCTTCCAGCCCGTCCTACATGTGCGAAAACGCACCTGACGAAGCATAGCGTCCGTAAGTTGCTCCACAGACGACAAAATTGGATGCGCAAGGATCACCAAAGTCAGATTGAACCAGAAAGCACACGAATGATTTGGGCGACATTGTGACTCGCGAATACACGCGAGTCACAATGTCGCCCGAATCGTTCTGAGTAGAGGCTCCGGTGGTAGTCGGGTCTTTCAACTCGCTTCGCGATCGATCCTATCCTATCCAATCCTATCCGATCCTCCTCTTTACACCTATTCCCCAGGCCAGCTCGAGACCACCTAGCGGAGCCCAACACAACGGCAAACCATCTAATGGTATAGGCTATAGGTTCGTCCTCTTCTGCAGCCGGGGCTCTCTCCTCCGAGCCCGCTTCGCCGACTGTGGGCCGTCCGCCCGCTGACAGCCCGCGTCACCCACCGTCGGCACAAGGGGCAGGAAGCGAAGAAGCTGGGAGCGCGGCGGGCGGGCCGCAGCGGGTGCCGGGTTAAGACCAGCCAGCGGCGGCAGCTCGTGCACGCCCACTTCGTCCAGGCCCCCATCCACGAACAAGGAACGTGAGGGCCCCAGCCGCAGACATTCCTCAGGAGCGGAGACTCGGTCGAATAGATATTTGCACGGACTGCGACGTGTGCCCCCGGCGAGGGGGAACAGACCGTGGCTGACCTCAACAAGTGAGGAAAGCATGCACAGCACCTGCTTCTGCTCCGCGGGGGCTCCACCCTGCAGCAATGCGCACTGGCATCGCGTCGAGAAGCCAGGCTGCCCTTGAGCAGCGAATTAGCGAGCACGAAGCCCCAGGGAGGAGACTCCCTCCGAGCTCATCATGACGCGCCTGGACGGCCACCCTGTCGCAGGGGGGAAGCACAGCCACGTACCCACCGCTGCGCGGTCCGAACTCCTCGGCCGCAAGCCCGTGAATACAGGGCGGCCTTGCGCGTACGGCCCCTGCGGATCGAACCCACGGAACTAACTGGAGCCGAAGCGCTTGCGGCAACCGCTCGCACCACAGCCCCGCGGGCCGCTAACGCGACAGGGGAGACGAGAGCTGCACACACCACCCCTGGCAGGGCCCGCCCTGGGCGCAAGATCAGCCCACCGCGCAGCAGGCCGGAGGCGTAGGTCGGGCCTGTCCCCTACAGGGGGATTATGGACGAGAAATGATATATATATATATATATATATATATATATAATGTATAAAAAAGTATGGGAAAGATGCCCAAAAATACTCCAAAGATATTCCCCAGGCTATTTTTAACTATTTAATTTTCTAATATATATATATATATATATATATATAACACAAAAGAAGTCCCCCTGTAGAGGCACGGGCACGACTTAACCCTGGCACGGCCTGTCCTGGGCGCAAGATCAGCTCACCGCGCAGCAGGCCGGAGGCCCCTGCGCCCAGCCCTGGCGTTAAGTCGGGCGTGTCCCCCTACAGGGGGGAATTTCGATGAAAAATAAAAAAATGTTCCTAAAATAAAAAAAGTCCCCAAACTATCTTTTGACTATTTTTGAACATTCCGCCTGTAGAGGGACAGGCCCAATCTAAACCTGGCGGCCCGGAATGGCGACGCCAAGCCTCCGGCACAGGCCTGCGCGGCCAGCGAGCGGAGCGGAGCGCGCCCTCCTGCCCGGGGGTGTTGCCAGCGCCCAGGCGGGCGCGCAGCAGGCCGAGGAGGCCACGGCCTGGCACGCCGTGCCCGCAGGGCTGGACCCAAACGGTGTTCGGGTGCTTTCGTGTGCTGTTTTCGGTTCGACTTCGTTCTGCGGTACACGTCGGTCGGAAGAAGTATAGGTAAAAACATGAAGTAGGAAGGCGGATTAAGTTGATTGGGTCCAGGGCCCCCCAGAGAATGACGAAGCACAGTGCAAAAGCGTGTCGACTCTTGAAGTAGAAAGGCGCTTGAAGTAGATTGGGATCTGGAAATCCAAAAATGCCTACTTTCAACGACCCGCCTGTAAAGGCGGATTGAAGGCAAAGCGAGGAAAAACGGAAACGGAACGAAAACGAAAAACGCCGTGCAGGTTCAGCACGTCGTGCCGGCACACGACGAGTAGGCAGCCCAGGCAGACGCTCCGGCCGAAGCCGCCCCTGCAGTGCACGAGGAGGGCGCCGCCGTCCTCGAGCGGCACCGCCCGACGCTGCAGGCGCTGGGCACGGCCCCGCGCGCCCGTGGACCCTGTCGCTGGCGGGGACGTCGGCGGGCCAGAGGCCGGCCCTGGTCAGCAGCCCGGGGTCGCAGCTCCCCCCGATCTGCGCCAGGCCGCCTTCATTCGGGGAGCTTACGCGCACCACGCCGCGCATGCCCTCCTCCAGCAGAAGGTCCACGGAGGGCTCGGCCTCTGGCCGGCCGTCCCCGTCGGAGGCGAGATCCGCAGAGGGCGCGCGCCGAGGCTCGTGGTTCTGGCACCGCGTAGACCGATGCGCACGACCCTGGGGTCGCGGGCCAAGCAGGCGGGACGCGCCCTGCCGAAGCGAGACTGCGCACGCCCACCGAGGACCTCACAGAGCAGCCGCCCGGGAGCACGGGCGAGGCGCCCATCCAGCGAGGCTTCGTCCAGCTCGGGGATGCTCGGCCGTCTGCGGCCGCTCACCTGCGCACCGAGGGAAACCGGGTCGTCCGCGGAAGCCTCCTCCATCTCAGGGATGCGTTGGCCGCGTCCGCCACGGATCTCCGTGAAGGAGGTGCGGCGCGCCGTCGGCTCAGGGGACGACGGCACAGACTCGCACCAGGAGGGTCTCTGCAAGTCGTCTGCGGAGGCATCCTCCATCTCAGGCAAGTGATCCTCGGTGTCATTCCTGCAGAAGGTGCCGCACGTCTTCGGGTCAGGATCGGAGATGGTCGTCATTGGATCGGCCATGACAAAGATGGCGCCTGGCACCAGCCAGCTCCCGTCGCACTGCTGGACGGCCCTCCAATACTTGGCGGCCGCAAAGGAGGTCATCACGCTGTCAGTGACGCTATCGCTGTGCAGCCAACCGAGGCCTTTGGCCATCTGCGCTCCCTCCCAGCAGTCCTGAACTCTCATGCGAGGCGACCCGCGCTGGGTCTGCAGAGCTTCCGGGCTTGACCACGAGCACGGCGGCGCCAGCTGGGCGTCCGCGGGCAGGGCGCCGCGGACCTGCTCGGCGGACCACCCCTGGCCGAGCACGAGGTAGGCGCCGCCGACCACGGCGACGTTCTGGCGCTCCGCGGGCTCGTACTCCACGGTGACGGGGGCCTTGGGGTCCTTGACCCAGGCGTCGAGCTCGCTGCAGAAGAGCAGCGTCTGGTCCAAGGCCAGCGGCCCAACACAGCCGCCGACGTCACTTCTCCTGTCGTGACGGACCTCGTGGGGCCCACTTCGCTCGGGAGGGCCCGCGCGAAGTGTGAACCCCACCTCCCCCCTCAGAAATCGTGGGGTGGTGGGGTAGGGCTCGCAGGCGGCCTCCTAGCGGTCGCGAGCACCTGGGCCGGAGTGCGGCGCTTCAAAATCCCAGCGCGCAGCGCCGGGCCGCGCGTGCGAGGCCCGCGGCCACGGGCCTGTGGGTCGTCCGCACTGCGTTTCTTCGGCACGGGTCGGAAGCTGGGCGAGGGCTGTGGCTGTTCAGAACGTCTTCCCGGAAGAAGAGAACATCCCGGGAGAAAGCCCAACGCGCTAAGGGGTAAGCGGGCTGCTTCCTGGAAGAAAAAACAAAAAAAATAAAGAAAAAAAAAAAAAAAAACAAAAAAAAAAAAATGCTAGAGCTCCGCTTTAGCAGCCACGGGCTTGCCAGCCTTCGCCTGGATTCTGCACAAAGAAGGTGGGCATCCAGATGGCAGAGGCCGGCCTCCGCGGGCCTCTTGATCGTCGCCGCTTGTCGGTCGCACTGCTTCTTGCCAGGGATGGCGGGCCTCCAGCTAGCCGGCTTCCGAAGGCCTCGTTGTAGGGGCCGCATTTCGGTCGTGTGGTATTTGTTGTCAAGGATGGCGGGCCTCCCGATGCCAGAGGCTGGCCGCCAGGGCACATGCAGTGGGCCTCCTTGCACAAGACCGCAATATCGTGGATCCGACTGCGACTAGCGCCGACGACGCCCAACAAGCCTTGGTTGGAGACCAAGAACCAGTACGCCAGCAGGCTCAGAAGGGCTGTGGACGACACCATTGTCAATTGGGAAGTCGAGGACTCAAGCAAAGGCCTGACTAAGCGCTGAGATCTTGCGACCGAAGCCAAGGGCGGCCAGGCACCCAAATGAGCGGTTGAGATTGCATTGTCGATGGTTCAGGATGCGCAAGAATGAGGAAGTCCACAAAGCAAAGCGTCAAATTCGACCCACCTGCGCCTACCCCAGTCAGCGGGTCCTGAAAAGTTGGGAGGGTGCTCCGATCTGGGCTGTCTTGGAGGGCTGGGTGGGGTCTGGCAGAGAGGTCCAGGGGATCTCCCGACCGGGGGTGGTCTGATCTGTTTTGCTCCTGAGAGGGATATGACAGGGCGACAAAATCTATACCAGGGATATGACTGGGAGGGATGTGACTGGGAGGAATATGCCTGGGAGGGATGTGCCTGGGAAGGGATATGGATGGTGTAGGGAAATAACAAGGGAGCGCGGCGACCCTGGCCGGGGCTCACCCTGGACCCAGGGGCAGCGTGTACGCCCTCCCCGCGTGGCCAGGGAGGCACACACACACACACACACACACACACACACCGCTCCTGGACCCTCGGGGGCGGCCAAGAGGAGGGCGTCCGAGAGGGGGGGTGCACATCCTGGCCGGCGGCACGTGCGCGGCCAAAGGGGGTGCCGGGGACGTAATTGTTGAAACAAGAAGAAGCGCCATGAAATCTCTGGGGATACATCATGGCCCTCGCCATGATATCCACCCCGCACCCTAGTCATCACCCCCGTCTTGGCCGCCCCCGAGGACCCAGGCTAGGCTGGACCAGGAGCAGCGGACATGTATAGATCCCGTCGCCCGATGCAACCCCCTTTGATATGTAACTCTGGAGTGCGTACCTCCTGCGTCCCGGCGCCCGCCCTGCCCTGCCGCGTCGACCGCCGCGGGTCCTGGGCGTGCACGGTTCCCGGCCGTAGTGCGGCCGAGCGCGTCGGGTCGAGGGGTGCGTTGCCGAAATGGGGCGGCGCCAGGAAGAAGCGGACGAGGACGAGTGGGAAAACAGAACGGCGACCGAAAAAGAGATTAGGTTCGGTCCTCCTCACATGAGCGAGTCGCACGTCGCTACTACCGTGCAGGTGCCGCACCTACGGGAAGCCACAGCCGATGCGAAGGGTAGAGGAAGGAGGATGGGTAACGGGGGAGCGAACAAGGGCGAAGGGGAAAGGAAGAGGATGAGGAGGCGCATCGCTCCGCCATCGCCTCCTCCTTCCCCTCCTCCTCCTCCTCCTCCTCCTCCTCCTCCTCCTCCCTCCTCCCCTCCTCCTCTCTCCTCAGCCATCTCACTCCCCTCCCCACTCATCCTCCTCCTCATCCCTCCTCCTCCTCCTCCTCCTCCTCCTCCTCCTCCTCCTCCTCCTCCTCCTCGTCCTCCTCCTTTGTTTGTCCTACTTACCGCTACTCACCGTCTCCCCCCTCCTACTCCACCTTCCCCCCTATTTTCTCTCCTCCGCCTCCGCCTCCCTATACTCCTCTGCCTCCGCCTCCGCCTTATGCCTCTCTTCCTTGTCTTCCCTCCCCTGTCGCCCCCCGCATCCTAACCGCCCCCGTCCTCCTTCTCGCCTCCACCGCCTCCTCACCCTCCTCCTCGGGCGCTTATCCTTCAAATTCCGCCCAAATTGGGAGACCAGAAATCGACTTCAACAAAACTGTTTCTGGCTGTTTGCGATGCCCACCTGAGGCATTATGGATCGGAACCAAGTGCGAATCGTAATATCACTGGTACGGGATACGACTTGGCTCGGTTCGGATCGAGATCGAAACAAAAACTCGCCTCGAAAGCTCGATCAAAAAACGTAGAAGGAGGAGGAGGAGGAGAAGGAGGAGGAGGAGGAGAAAGAGGAAGAGGAGGAGGAGGAGGAGGCAGGAAGGAGGAGGGAGGAGGGTGGAGAAAGGACAGGAGGATCAGGACAGGAGGGCACGGGGGAGAGGATGACAAAGAAACACCATGGTCAGAACGCGCTCCAGGGAAACGTCGCCACGGCTGGATTCGCCAAAATCGAGATCCCTCGACATGGGGTGCACGCACCGGAGCTCGATCTCCGCAGCGGACAGCCTGCGTAAGGGCGGGGGGGCTCCTGCACCACCTCTCGTTGTCATGCCCTTCCTCCAGGAGGTCATCCTTTGCCATCCGCGTCGTCATCACGGTTACCACCATAATCGTCCTCATAACTATCCCTGACATCGTCGTCGTCGTTCTCATCGCCTCCACACTCTGACCCTCCTCCGTTTGACGCTCACCCTTTATCCTGCTCCCCCTGCCCCCCATCCTCGTCGTCGTTCCTCCAATAATTCCCCCCTTCCTGCCCCCAATGATCCTCCTCCTCCTCCTCCTCCTCCTCCTCCTCCTCCTCGGATTGTAGCGTTCCCCTCTTCCTCCTGCTCCTCCTCCTCCTTGTCCTCCTCCTCGACTCAGCCGAAGCGCAACATGTCTGTCACACTTGCCACTTGTGCCACCGCGTGCTCGGAGTGGGTGGCGTTCCAAGCCACTTTCGCCACACACACACACACACACACGTGCAGAGGCGGGTGGTGCAACAATGCCACTTGCGCCACCACGGACTGGGCCCCAGTGGGCGGCGCTCATCCGAAACATCAAAGACAAGACGACTTGGGGGCCGAAGACGTCTTGCCATACCTTGCCAATGGAAAAACGTCCTCTCGCTAAATTCGACAGAACACGAGCGCCCCAGGAGCCGTGGGGTTGCAGTCTTGAGCACTCGTCTCGCAATCTTTAGACCAGGCCATCCAGGAGGCCCACGTGTGCAAGACTTTAGACCAGGCCTTGTGGGCCACACGGAGCGGGTCAGGAACTCGAGACCTCAAACTCCTCCTCCTCCTCCTCCTCCAACTCCTCATCCAACTCCTCCTCCTCCTCCTCCTCCTCCAACTCCTCCTCCTCCCTCCTGGTCCTCCTCCTCCTCCTCTCCTCCTCCGCCTCCTCCTTCCTCCTCCTCCTCCTAATGCTCCTCCTCCTCCTCCCTCCTCCTCATCCTCCTCCTCCTCCTCCTCCTTCCCTCCCTCCTCCTCCTTCCTCCTCCCCCTCCTCCAACTCCTCCTCTCCTTCCCTCCTCCTCCTCCTCTCTCCTCCTCATCCGCCTCCTCCTCCTCCTCCTCCTCCTCCTCCTCCTCCTCCTCCTCCTCTCTCCTCTCCAACTCCTCCTCCTCTTCTCCTCACCTCCTCCTCCTCCCTCCTCCTCCTCCTCCTCCTCTCCTCATCCTCATCATCATCATCATCATCCTCATCCTCTTCCTCCTCCTCCACCTCCGCCTCCTCCTCCTCCCTCCTCCCTCCTCCTCCTCCTCCTCCGCCTCCTCCATTCCTTGTCCTTCTATAAGTAGCTTGCCCCCGTCGCATCCCGAGGCCAGCTTTTAGGGCGGACCAGGCGTTTCGCGTGAGACGCCCTGACCATTTATGACCCTGAAGCTTAAAGACTGGCGACAGCTTCACAGATGGAGGGCGGGTGGTTTTCAAAATGTGGCTCTCGCCTTAGCGCCGCGCACATTCGTTGAGGGCGGCTCCTTTTCAAAATGTGGCTCTCGCCTTCGCGCCGCAACATCAGCATCATCATCATCGTAATCAGCATCATCAGTAACCACAGCAACAACAACAACCACAACAATAATAATAATAACAACAACAACAACAACAGCAGCAATAACCATAACAATAACAACAACAGCAACAACAACAACAACAACAACAACAATAACAACAACAACAACAAAAACAACAACAACAACAACAACAACAACAACAACAACAACAACAACAACAACAACAACAACAACAACAACAACAACAACAACATCAACATCAACAACAACCAACAACCAACAAAAACAACAGCAGCAACAATAACCGCAACAAACATAACAACAAAGGCAAAACACCCAACAACAACAACAAACAAAACAGCAACAACAACTACAACAACCACGACAACCACAACAACAACAACCACAACAACAACAACAACAACAACAACAGCAGCAGCAACAGCAACAACAATAACAGCAACAAAAACAACATGAGCCACTTCTGCCTAATCCTCCTCCTCGTGTTCCTCATCCTCCTCCTCCTCACCATCCTCCTCCTCATCCTCCTCCTCCTCCTGCTCCTCCTCCACCTCCTCC